GGGGAGCTGGAACTGACAGAGGGAGCTCATCCATGCTCTCCCCGGATTCGAAAATCTGATCTGTTTCGAATGGGCTTAACCCATTGCACCACTGGGGGCAATTATTAATAATTACCTGTAATTATTGCCTACCTTGGGACCTCTTCTCCTTTCCATTACAATATTTTGCCAGGAAAAATTCAGAATACATGATCCAGCATGCTTGGGCGGCTTATAAGTAACCTAAATTCCCAGGCAATACATTGAAGGGAGGGGATTAGTTTGATACCAGATCAAAATGTGGTCTAGTTAGCCGAGTTTCACAGCTTTGTTGAATTTTCTGCAGCAGGGTGGGGGATGGTGAGAGAAATCCCTTTTTGTGGTCCCAAGCCAATTGGCTTTAAAGTGCACCCATTCTCCTTTGTTTTCCGAAGGAGGGGAGGCTTTGTTTACAGCAATAATGGCCAAAGACTTTAATCCGCAGCACTGGATGGTGTACATTCCACGTTGACATTCATGCAAGTCACACACTTGCAGCCCAAAGCTTGTCTATGCTCATCTATCAAGACATGAATGGATAAAAGCTCTGGGATCTATTCTGCCAGCCATGGAGGGAGGGAAAGGAGGAGAGGAAGAAGGAGACAAAGAAGAGAGGGGCATGGAGCTGGAGGGATACATTTCACAGCCTGGCAGGCATCAGGCTATGTTTTAATATGAGACTGGGGGTGCATCTACACTGTAGGATTAATATAATTTGACATCACTTTAACTGTCATGGCTCAATGCTATAGAATAATGAGGTTAGTAGTTTTACAAGGTCTTTAGCCTTTTGTGCCAAAGAGCGTTGGTGCCTTGCCATAGGAGAAGTTGTGTTATTCCATAACATTGAGCCATAGCAGTTAAAGTAGTATCAAACTGTATGTTTTCTCTAGTATAAGATCAGGCATGGGCAAGCTTTGGCCCTCCAGGTGTTTTGGACTTCAACTCCCACAATTCCCAACAGCCTCAGGCCCTTTCCTTTCCCTCCTCAGCCGCTTAAGCCGCTTAAGCCCTCCTCAGCTTAAGCGGCTGAGGAGGGAAAGGAAAGGGCCTGAGGCTGTTGGGAATTGTGGGAGTTGAAGTCCAAAACACCTGGAGGGCCAAAGCTTGCCCATGCCTGGTGTAGATGCACCAAGCGTATTTCAGCTTCACAAGGCATTGCAGAGAGTGGCTGAGCACAACTATTACAACTTGCAGAGTTGTATCTTCTCCACTCCCTTCCTTTGGCCTCTGAAGTTTGACATGACCGATAGTAACCTTGCAACCATTTTTTTCTCTCTCTCTCCCTTCTTCCAGCATTACCATAACAGCCATAACAGAGCAAAGCACACAGCTGCCTCCTCCTGTTGCTGCTGTAGGTTAGTTTTCCCACCACTGCCTTCCAAAAACAAACTTCCCAAGATGTCCTTCTTTACTCTTTTTCTCTGCAGTAATATCTCCTGTAAGAAGCAGGGTCCTTTCTCCATCCCCTCCTCAAACATGTACAACAGTACATCAGAAAGAGACAGGGTGGTTTAAAAATCAATTTAGATCACTGCTTGGAGATAGATCCCTCTCCTCTTCTGGATGACACCTCCCAGGATTTCCCAACTAGAAACATTTTCCCCAAACCTATGTTTTAAAACAACAGCTGCTTCCACACTGCAGAATTAATGCAGTTTGACACCAGTTTAACTATCATAAATCCCACCCTTGGGAGAAAAGCAGTATATAAATAAATAAATAAATAATAACAACGACGCATTTAATGTTTGTCTAAGTCTGTTTATAAGCTGAGTCCCCTCGGGGAGAAGGGCAGAATATAAATAAATTATTATTATTATTATTATTATTATTATTATTATTATTATTTGTCCCATGCCACGCGTTGGTGTGGCCCAGTCTGTGTATGTGTGTTTTGTGTGTATGTGTGTAAAAGTGTACATATGTGGTTTGTGTAAAAGTGTACATATGTGGTTTTGCACATGCAAAGTTGTTTTAGAGTTATGTTAATCCCACAAATGAACATTACATTTTTATTTATAACTAGCTGTCCCTTGCCACATGTTGCTGTGGCCCAGTCTGTATATATGTTCTTTGTGTGTTTGCATATGTGTGTTTGCATATATATATGTGTGGTTTTGCACATGTATCATAATGTATTTATTTTTTTGGCTTTTTAAGTCTCTTCTGCTGTGTTTTTCAGTGTTTTTATGAGTAATGGTCACTCATTGGCCTGATAGGTGTATTGTGTACAAATTTGGTGTCAGATCGCCCAGTTATTTTAGAGTTATGCTAATCCCACAAATGAACATTTATAATAGCTCAATGCTATGGATTCTGGGGAGTTGTAGTTTTGCAAAATCTTTACTCTTCTATGCTAAAGGGTCTTCACTAAACTACAAATCCCAGGATTCCATAGCACTGATTGAAATCTTTGCTTTTCTCCGCAGGTGGAAAAGTACAATCTAATGCTCATCACATCACATGGAAAGTCACCCCAGTGTGTCCCTTTTTTGCCATATGTTTAGAAGCTACCACACTGAGATGTGATGGAAAAAACCCATGATTTCCTCTCATGTCCATGTCTCTAGCTTTTTAACACAGAGAGAGAGCATTATGGAGAAATGTCATCTGTTAGAAAGTCTTTGCCTCCCTCTAAAGCCCCGAGAAACAGGGTCAAATGGCAAGCTTCTAAACAACACAGGCTTCTTCTTTAGACCAAAGCTTTTCTGAACTCAAGACCTTTTCTCCAAACGACACCACATAAAAATCCGATTCTTTAGAAATTCAGCCTTTTGCCTGTTTTGTCAGGTTCCCTGTTCTCTGCAACAGCTGCCCCTGCTCTCTAGCTTAGGCACATCAAGGGTACATACATATGGTAGAATTACTGCAGTTTGACACCACTGTAATTTACGTGGCTCAGTGCTATGATATTCTGGGATGTGTAGTTTGATGAGGCACCAAAACACTTGGCAGAGAAGGCTAAAGACCTTGTAAAGTTACAACCCCCACAATTCGACAGCATTGAGCCATGTCAGTTAAAGTGGTGTCAAACTGCATTAATAGTACAGTACAGATGCAGCCCATGTTGCATTTCCCTTTCCCTTGTTTCACACTCCATAGGGTGGCAAAGATGGGGGAGAAGCTTTTGAAATAAAACAAGAGACACTTAAGAAAACCTGCTGGAAGGAATGGAGCCTATGAGTCAAAGGAGGGTGCGTCTACACTGTAGAATTAATGCAGTTTGGCACCACTTTAACTTTTTTTTCATGTCAGGAGTGACTAGATAAACTGCTAGTCGCTTCTGGTGTGAGATGACATTGTCCAGGGGAAGCCTGAGTGTTTTACCATCCTGTGGGAGGCTTCTCTCATGTCCACACATGGGGAGCTAGAGCTGACAGATGGGAGCTCACCCAGCTCCCTGGATTTGGACCATCAACCTTTCAGTCAGCAGTCCTACCAGCACAAGGGTTCAACAAGAAGACATAGTTTTTATAATTTTTATTATTCATTGATTTCATGGTTTTTAAATGTATTGTGATGTTTTTGTTTTCTATTGATGTATGTATTTTTATATATGGCATCTAATTGTTGCTGACTTGTACGCCGCCCTGAGTCGCCTTCAGGCTGATATGGGCGAGATACAAATGTTGCAAATAAATAAATAAATATATCCATTGTGCCACCTGGGGCTCCTTTAACTGCCATGGGCTCAATGCTATGCGATCACGGGAATTGCAGTTGTACAGCTGTTCAGCAGTGGAACTCTCTGCCACAGAGTGTGGTGGAGGCTCCTACTTTGGAGGCTTTTAAGCAAAGGCTGGATGGCCATCTGTCAGGGGTGCTTTGAATGCAACTTTCCTGCTTCTTGGCACTGCAATATCTCTTTATGATTGTATGATTCTAAGTTCTCGAGCCTTCTCTGACAAAGGAGTGCTGGTGTTATGTCAAATCTCACAATTGACATAACACAGTGCCATGGCAGTTCAAACTGCATTGATTCTACAGTGTGGATGCACCCTGGATGTGAAAGAGGAGGAGGGAATATGTAGCAGATCACTCATACATATTGGAGGAAAGGAAGAGCTAAGCAAATCTTCCAACTGGGGATTGGAATTGGGAAAGTACTATTTACATGTAAAAGCCTCTCCTGCAGGAAAAGGCACTGAAGGCTGTGGATCACTCAGGCCAGTTTAACATTTGGTGTGGTGTCAAACTGTCCTTCATTCTATAGTTTAGGCATGGGCCAACTTGGGCCCTCCAGGTGTTTTGGACGCCAACTCCCACCATTCCTCACAACCTCAGGCCCCTTCCTTTCCCCCCTCAGCCGCTTAAGCGGTGAGGGGGAAAGGAAAGGGCCTGAGGCTGAGGAATAGTGGGAGTTGGAGTCCAAAACACCTGGAGGGCCCAAGTTGGCCCATGCATTAGCTATCTCGGCCTACTAATTTGCATATGGCTTCTGACTGGCCAGCCCCCAGTTATCTCGAGCTCCAAATTTGCATATGGTTTCCGATTGGCCAACCTCAACATTCTAACATTCTTAAGCAGCTGAAGGGGAAAAGGAAGGGGCCTGAGGCTGTGAGGAATGGTGGGAGTTGTAGTCCAAAACTCCTGGAGGGCCCAAGCTGGCCCATGCCTAATCTAAACTGTATGCAGTTTGACACTACTTCAACCGCCAAGGCTCAATGCTACACAATCACGAGATTTGCTGTTTGCAGAGGCAGCAGCACTCTTTCCCAGACCTTGCAATACTACAACTCCCATGATTCCATCGCACTGAGCCTTAGCAATTGGAGTAGTGTCAAACTGCATTCATTCTACAGTATATAGACGCATCCTCACTCGATTCGAGGCTCTTGGACGGAGATCTAACCCAAGCCCTCCTTCCCGCGTTGCTATACACGTGTCGTGTCTATTCACACGTGACTCCTTCTTCTGCATGCACCGCAATCTCGCGTCTTCCCATCTCCTCCCTCAGGTTTGCCTTCGGAGCTTCTTACCTGGGCTTGAGTGTGTCTGTCAACACAGCAAAAATAGTTATAATAATAATAATAAAGGGGGAGCTCTCCAATCTCAAAAACCAGGCGGTTAAGAATCCCGATGAGCTTGAGCAGCAGTTCCCTTTGGGATTAGGAAGAAGGCAGTGAACTGGCAGCAGCGAGGAAGTTTCCAAAGCCCCACATTTCCCCGGGGGAAGTGTCCTTGAGGGGCGAGCAGAGTCCCGTGTCGGGCGAGCAGCGATCCGGCTGCGAGCGATGTGTGTCCTTTCGCTCCGCTTGCATAGTACTATATTCGCCCGTCACGTGACCAGCCCATGGGAGCCAGCGCCGGAGAAGCGGGAGGAGGCTTGGAGGAGGCTCGACCCAAGACGGCCTCCCCATTGGCTCAGCCAAAGGCAAGGGGCGGGGCCAAGGGTTTGGCGTCATTGGGCGCATCGGGCACGCGAGCAGACCCTCGCGCTCTCGCTCGCTTGGCCGCGTTCTGCGCATGCGCTGGTACTGCTACCTTTTCTCCCCTCTATCCCCATGGAATCATGAAAATCCGAGGCAGAGAGGAACATCTATGGGCCCTTCCACACAGCCCTATATCCCAGGATATCAATCCCACATTATCTGAGTGTGGAATCAGGATATTCCACACAGCCCTATATCCCAGAATATCAAGGCAGAAAATCTCAAAATTATCTGAGTCCACTCAGGTAACGTGGGATTGTCTGCCTTGATATTCTGGGATATAGGGCTGTGTGGGAGGGCCCTAAACCTCTCAGGATCCCATAGCATTCAACCACGGTAGTTAAAGTGGTGTCAAACTGCATTAATTCTGCAGTGGAAAGAAACCTCTTTGACTTTTTTTTCGTATCAGGAGCGACTTGAGAAACTGCAAGTCGCTTCTGGTGTGAGAGAATTGCCCATCTGCAAGGACGTTTCCCAGGAGACGCTCGGATGTTTTGATGTTTTACCATCCTTGTGGGAGGTTTCTCTCATGTCCCCGCATAAGGAGCTACAGCTGACAGAGGGAGCTCATCCGCGCTTTCCCCGGATTCGAACCTGCGACCTGCCGGTCTTCAGTCCTGTCGGCACAAGTGTTTAACCCGAATGCAGGTCGAATTCCACTTGGAAGGAGGGAAGGAAGGCGCGCGTGCGGATGGCAAAAGATTGTTCTTTCTCCTGCTCGTTTCCTCTGTTCCGCTCGACCTCCTGCCAATCCACAGAGGCCTCCTTCTCCATTTCCCTCCATTGAGCCATTCTCCACAACAGAATTCCCACCAGGCCTCCTTATCCGCGGATTCTGCACCCACAATGAGACGTTTGCCACCACATAGCCATTTCTCAATACAGTTATTTCCCCTGTAGTACTTACTTACTTAGGCAATCCCTCGTTGTCCAAGTATGATGGCCTTCCCAGTGTAGTGTCTTGGTAGTGGGTAGGTAGGTGACTGTGCAGCCCTATTCTTGATCTGCATGTTCTTCCATACTGAGGACATTGGTTTCCAGGTGGAAGGCAGTCCCAGTCAGGGTTGGCTTGACGTGACTTCTTTTTAGCACATTTCTTCCTCCATTCGTGCCTCTTTGAATTCTGCAGCACTGCTGGTCACAGCTGAGCTCCAGTTAGAGTGCTTCCCAGGGCTTCCCAGTTCTCAGTGCCTATGCCACAGTTTTTAAGGTTCTTTAAATCTCTTTTCCTGTCCACCAACATTCATTTTTCCATTCATGAGTTGGGAGTAGAGGGACTGCTTTGAGAGATGGTGATCAGGCATTCAGACAATGTAGCTAGTCCAGCGCAGGTGATGGCGTAGGAGCATTGCTTCAGTGCTGGTGGTCTTTGCTTTTTCCAGCACTCTGACATTTCTCCATCTGTCTTCCCATGAAATTTGCAGGTTTTTTTCAAAGGCAACACTAATGGAATCGTTCCAGGAGTTGAGCATGATGTCTGTAGACCGTCAACGTTTTGCAGGCATGTAGCAAGGTTGTGAGGTCAATAGCTTTATAAACAAGCACCTTGGTCTCCCTATGGATGTCTCAGTCCTCAAGCACTCTCTGCTTCATTCAGAAAAATGGTGCACTCGCAGAGCTCAGGTGGTGTTGTATTTCAGTGTCAGTGTTGACTTTTGTGGAGAGGTGGCTGCCAAAGTAGCAGAAATAGTCAACATTTTCTAACATTACACCATTAAGCTGCATTTCTGGCATTTCAGATAGATTGGCTGGTGACTGTTGGAAGAGCACGTTGGTTTTCTCGTATGCTTCTGCAAAGGCGTTTAGAGTGGCTTGTAGCACTTTTCTGAATGTGCATAGACTACATTATCATCAGCATATTGGCATTCCATTATAGATGTTGTTGTGACCTTGATTTTGGCTTTAATTCTACTGAAAGCCAAATTGCTCCCATTGAGGCCTTCCTCACATAGACTCATTTCTCTGTAGAGCCATTTTTCCCTATGGAGCCATTTCCCCCATATAGATTTATTTCTCCATAGAGCCATGTTCCCACCTCAGACTATAGACTTGTCCTGAGTTTGGATTGATAAAACTCTTCAAACTGGAACTGGGATAGTTCCCTTTTTAGCTTCATCTCACTAAGCCCCCATCTACACTGCCAAATAAAATCCAGATTAACTACTTTGAATTGGATTATATGGCATTGTACACTTATACAATCCAGTTCAAAGCAGATCATGTGGATTATTTGTTTTGATAATAATCTAGATTATATAGTAGTGTCGATTCAGCTTGAATCTTCATTTCAGCATGACCAGGCAGTATATGGCTTGCCCAAAGTTACCCAGTGGGTTTTGTGGCTGAGCAGGGATTCAGACTCATTGTCTAACTTTCAAGCCACTACAACACACTTGGGTCATCCGGGTGTTTCAGACTTCAACTCCCACAATTCCTAACAGGCTCAGCCCCTTCCTTTTCTCCCTCAGCTGCTTAAGTGGCTGAGGAGGAAAAAGGAAAGGGCTTGAGGTTGTTAGGAATTGTGGAAGTTGAAGTCCAAAACACCCAAACGGCCCAAGTTTGCCCATACATGCACTACAACATGCTGGCTGTATGTATGGGGAATTCTGGGAGCAATACTCCCAAACACCTTCCCCAACAGCCTTCCACGTTGCTCCCCAACTCTTGAGGAAAACCCAATTGTAAACACACTTGAAAAATTCACACCAGGATTTTCTTTTTCAACAAGAACAAAAAAGAATCACTTTGTTTATGTTGCTCAGTCAAGGATAACTGACCTTGTTTGTACTGTACCCTGTGGAGTCACTGACCTGGCTTAAACCATGTTAGTGTGGCCAGATCCGTTAAAGCAAAAACCTCCCAAAGCGGCTGCTTGCTTGGACATGATGCAAGAAGAAGACAAGATGAACTCATGATGGGTGGTTTTGAGGAAAAAATGAGCTTGAGCCTAAATGAAAACATTTCAGGATACCCAGAGGAAGAAGACATGCCAATGCAGAATACGGTGATGCCTTGAATTGAAGCACAATGCTACATAGTGTTTCCGAGAGAGGGCAAGAAGAGAGTTGCCCCATCTACACCACCATATAGTATAGTCTGAAACTGCATTATATGGTCAGTGTAGATTCATATAATGTGGTTCAATGAAGTAAAACTGCTTTATATGAGTCTACACCAGGCATGGGCAAACTTGGGCCATCTGGGTGTTTTGGATGTCAACTCCCACAAATCCCAACAGCCTACCAGCTGTTAGGAATTGTGGGAGTTGAATTCCAAAACACCCAGATGGCCCATGCCTGGTCTACTCTGACCATACAATGCGCTTTCAAACAGGTATTTATAGATGGGCCATAGAGAGTTTTTATAGTTACGCTCTGCTAAAAGAAACGCTGCATCCTATGGAGACAGATGGTTTCCTTGGTGAAGGGTGAATAATATGCTCCAGGTTTTAGTCTGAATTTTAAAGGAGTTGTCCAGGTTCTTAGATGTAACTGAACGTATTGAACAGATCCTTTCCACTTTTCATCCAGGACAGGACTCACATTTTAAGGAATTACAGATCCGGTTTACAGATGTGTTTGAAGGTTCATGACAATATTACAAAGTGCACCTTTCTCTGTCCTATTACACACTGATCCCACCTCATAACTGCAAAGTACAAGGCCTTCAACTGTCCCAGTTTGGCAGAGACCGTTCCAATTAATCCTGTGCCATCCCACTTTTTCAGCTGCTTTCAAAACGTCCCAGTTTCTTTGGTACAAGATGTTTTACCGCGGGTACCTCACACCAGTACAATTAGCTAAATTTTACAAAAAATAACAATAACCAATGTTGGAAATGCAAGCGAGAATCGGGATCATATTACCACATGTGGTGGGACTGTAAGATCATTAAGAAATACTGGATAATAATCCATAGGCACTGCCAAAATATTATCAAAATAAAATACGAATTGATACCCGAATATTACTTGTTGAATATAACGGATTTTGAAAGTGGGAAAAACGAAGAAAAGATTCTTTTTTATCTCACTGCCGTGGCGAGAATTACGATCGCCCAAAAATGAAAAGATAAAGACCCTCCGATAATAGAGAGCTGGTTCTCCAAGATTGGAGAATTTATGAACATGGATAGACTGTCACAGATAATTAAAAACCAGAAAAAGGAAAATCAAATTGAGTGGAACCAACTCAAAAAACATTTTCAAGAAAAAATGAAGATTAATATCAATATATAAACAAGACAACCAAAATACCCGGATAGCGACGACATAAAGAAACCTTTTTCTCTCTCCAAAACTGATGTTTGCATCTCTATGGAATGAACTGGAAGTTCCCTACTCCAAACTACCTCCCCCACAATATTATCCTATTTTTTTAATCACTTCAAGCCCTCCAGTCTCCCCAACTACCTTCAATTTTTTCCCTTTCCTATTTTCCTACTTTTCTATTACCACTATTGTTCCCCCTCTTTACGTGTCTGCAAACATAAATGTTAATCAATAAAAATTATATATATATAAAAAATCCCAGTTTCTCTATCCTATTCCCGCTTTCCTCACAGAATCAGAGAATCATACAGATGGAAGAGACTCCAAGGGCATCCAGTCCAACCCCTGCCACTCAGGAACATACAATCACAGCATTCCCAACAGATTGTCATCCAGCCTCTGCTTAAAATTTTCAAAAGAAGTAGCATCTTTCACTACTGAACTGCTCTTGCCCTCAGGAGGTTCTTCCTAATATTCAACTGGAATCTTTTCCTGCAATTTAAATCAATTGCTTTGTGTCCTAGTCTCTGGTCAGAAGAAAACAATGTTGCCCCTGCCTCAATGTGACATCCTTT